ACATGAAATGTGAGCTGTTTAAAATCATTTTGGGACAAAATATACTGTTGACAAGATTTATCCTATTTAAGTTTATTGCGCATCCCTGACTATATAGCATGCTGTCTTGTTTTCAGCAAAGGGAATACTTCTGAAATGGATTGAGAAACTCCATTGTTATCATTGTCTTAACTTAAAAAGACTACACCTTTGTATAGAGTTCTGTTAAAAGAAATCCTGCTGCTTATCATAAGCACGTACTTCCCCGAAGTTCCTGTTTTTTTAGAGGTTTTATTAATTGCAAATGTTGTTTACTAGAGGAACACCATGATTGAAGCTGTAAAACAAAGAGAATAGTGGTAACTTTAATCCTTTCAATAAGCCTTTGTTTCCCATTGACTAAAAACTTCCTAAAGGAAGTAGAGCTGCGAAAATCCAGGAAGGAATTAGATTTGCCAAATTCTGCTCCTACTTGGAGTTAGACGCAAAGCCTTTGTTATTCATTGTACAAATGTTTGAGAAAATAAATAAATAAATGATGATCAATTATAAAAATGTATTTTTACCAAGGTTGAAAATTACAAATAGAAGAGTTCTCCCTACCACAAAACACACAATAAAAAAAAAACTGCTGCTGCAATTTTTTAGTATTTCTTTCTTTTTATTATCTAAGAGGGACTCAGATACTGGCCTGATAAAGATCATACAAGAACCTAGATAAGTAAATAAACATGAGAAGAAAAATACAACCGCAACCTCTCACTCACATTAAGCATGATTCAGAGCATGCAAAAGAAGAGAAATCTTGAAAATCCCTTTCCATGACAACGAGTAATTGCATACTGGAAAGCATACTATTGTGGCAATAAAGCTGAATTCCCTGCAGGCCATTCAGAGACACTACCAATTTGTTTTGTATTTTTTTTCCACATGCTCATTGTAACACTGTTCATGCTCTCCAGGATTTAACTAGCCAATATGTAGAGTTTAGGTAAGTATTTTCACTTATTACATAGACCAGAGGCCCTATGTAAAATGATCCTAAAATTATCCTAAAATAAATGAAACTCCTACCTCCTTCCCACCAAAGCAGTGTATATTTAAAAGTCCATTTCTTGTTCAAGAGTACACTGGAATATTAAAGGATATTAGCACTACCATTTTTGTAACGAAATGCATAAGGATATATCATTTTCTTAGGCAAAAAGATGCTGCCTACTTGTTATTGATTTCAGTGGAAGTGTTGCTTAGCTTCTGGAGACACTCAGCTTTGACGTACAAGAAGCTCCACATTTTAACAAAGGTGTGTCAGAGGTTTGGCCAAGCTTACTTGGATCACTGAGTTGGAAAAATTATGTTATGCAAGTTCCAGTAGCCAACAGCAGGCAAAGAAATGTTGTATTTGACATCATGTCCAGGCCCTGTATAATGCTAGTGCAAACTACCAAGTGCAGAGAGCCTGCCTGGGTGTGATCTTCAGCCTAAGCAAAAGCAAATGCCTCTGGATCCCTAATGAGATGCATTAATGGTTCTGCTATGGAAACCTCTTTCTAAATTTTGTAATACTATTACACATATGACCAATTTATAGAGTATCTTCAGCAGTTTTGGTTGCTAATGTTTATATATCTAGGATACACTAAATAATCTAATGCTTAATTTAATGCTGACTTAAAACTTGCTTTAAAAATCCCTGTATGCTAATAGATATGTGGAGTACCTCTCTAATATTTATTAATAGACCCTAAAACTACACAAATACACACACAAAAACATGTTTTGATGGCATAAAATCATGAGAGGAGAGGAGAGGAGAGGAGAGGAGGAGGAGAGAGGGGAGGAGAGGGGAAAGAGGATTTCTATACTCCTAATTACCACATTGACAAACCTTTCTCAAGATGGAAAAGCCAGTTTTAATTTAAACTACAAACTGTTGACCAGGCCTCAGCTTGGCTTTGCGATGCACTGTATGCCTGAGGGATGAATTATTTAGCATTAGCACATGGTATGTCATGTCTTGTTACTTAAGTGTAATATGGCTTCTCTCCAGCTATCCCCGCAGGGCCCCCGGATTGGCTGTGAGTGATGTCACTTCCATTTGGAAATCCTCAGCAGAGCCCCTGGGGACAACGCCGGCCTCCCAGCCCCTCTGCCTCCAACCTGGGCCCAGCAGTGGGTTTCCTCATGCTTATCGCTCCTGGGTTCACTGCAGGTACCGCTCCAATTAAATGATTTTCAATAACAGTGCAGTGGAACAGAAGGTGCAGCAGATAAGCTGCATCACCATTCTATAGCGTTCTGTTTCCTTTGCAGAAACTTGCAACAATTTTGGGGAGATGAATAGGGCAAAGACCAGGCTGAATTCCTGCCAAAGCTCCAAATCAGCTCACAAATTTTGAAGAGTTTATTTAACCAAATATGAATATAAATATTGTCATTAAAGTCTTTTTTATTATATTTTCATCATATTGCAGATTTTAATAAAAAATGTGTTTTTATATGGCAAGAGAAAGGGATTCTTAAAGTATAATTCTGAAAAATACTTCTTTTAGAAGACCAGCAATTAATTAGTTAACCAGAATGCCTTTAAATGGTCATCTTTTGTTTTCTGTTAACTCATTATTTTGAAAGGGCACTTCCTTCACAACCACCCTCAGAGATTATCTGCCCCTATAGGTAACAGTCAGCATGCCATTCGCTACTGGCAGGTTTCCAGCACAAAAATAAGTTCAGGATTGTTTCGGTTTTAATGAAATTTGGAGCAAAGTCAAGGCAATGCCGAGAATTACAGGGCACTTTCAGTGCAGTACAGATGGCACCGTCTACTCAGCGGTGAGGCACAAGATTTGCCTGTTTTTTTTGTTCAGCAGCGGTTCTGCTCAGTCTTGTATTCTAGATGACAGATAACAGAAAAGACCCAAGGGACTAGCGCTGAGAAAACTATGTGTTTTGGTACATTTTTGTTTAAACAGACTACGTGATGCTCTCAGAACTTTGTTTCTTGTGGTGAGGAGGTATGCAAACTGACTGTCATTAGTCTTTTATGCTGCTGGATCTCAATTATTTGCTATATAGCATGTTGCATGAGAAGAAAAAACAAAAGGATTTTGTGGAAATAACGTGATCTTGCAGAAGTGAAGTGCGTAATTCTACAAGACAGTAGGGGAACTTTGCAAGGGGATTCCCACAAGAAGAGACACTGAACCAAGACAGGACAAACGGCTGCACAATAAACAACTGCAAGGCAGGAAATGAAGAACCCCAATCGATACTGTGAGAGGGACTGTTAGTCAAACGTGGAAATTCAGAACTGCATTTAAATCAGAACTGTTAACTCGCTCCTCTCATACCACAAAATACAACCTATAGCCATGGGATTGAGCACTTTGATTTTAGGCATTTGGAAGTTAGCACCTGCAGCAGGTCCTAGCCTCATACTACAGTGCTGATTTAAACACTCAGAGAGAGGGACACAACGAATTTGCTCTCATGTTCATTCTCCCTAAATTATCAGTCCTACTTTGGCTTTAACACAATAATAAGCAGCAAGATTAGCAGGCCGGCAGGCAAGTAAAGCACTCTGCGGGCAAATACACAACTTCCCTTGGGTTCGGCTCCCCACTCCAACCCGCGTGTCAGCACAGCCTCTCTCCCCGCAGCCAACAAAACTAACACGTTACCTCACACCCTAATGTGTCACACTGCTAAACTGGGGGCAAAAGAAGACTAAGCCCATCTGCCGTGCCGGCCTTGGGAACCGAGGCCGGGGGAAACACGGGCTGTGCCTGACGGGCTCGGGAAGCGCCGCGTCCTGTCAGGGGGCGGCCGTTTTGTGAGGGTAACTGCGGCGCATCCCAAGGCAGAAGCAGTGGGGCTGCCACAGCAGA